ACCAGTTCCAGCTCGTAACGGTTGTCGTGCACCATCGACGAAAGATGAGGGAGGCTTGTGGTAAACCGAAGCGAGGCTGCCAATGTGACATACTAGCTGATCAAGTAGTGATGGCTCTAATAGATCCGTTTCTTCAGAGATTAAAGGTTTTTCTGCCAAAACCACTTGTTTGGCTGCGGCTGGGTCTGCAGACAGGAGGCGCCAGTAGATATATCTGAACATCGAAGATACTAGATCATCCTTTTTTCACCAGCACAACAAAATACGTAATTTAACGTACTGATCTAACCACTTACCCACGATCTCTCAAATCAGGGTTGTCACTATCTTGGGTAGCAAGAGACAAAACTCGCTGGACCAACTGTTGAGTATCAGTTGGCCTTTTCAGGAACAATTTCACAACAGCAGTGAGAAGCTGCAGTTGCACCTGTAAAGGTGAAAAATCAACCAAACATTTGTCAAAACGCAAAAATCGACGCGATCCAGCAAACTCAAAACTTACCTGAGTGTTCTCATCGTGAAATCCTTCGACAAAACTTTCTAGCAATTCGTCAGCATTATCAATCCTCTCAGCATACTCTCCAATGATCCATATCATAGAAGCACGAGCTTCGGGCTCGTCCAGCGTGTCCAGATTCTAAGAGAACAGATATGACATACAGCGCAGATAGAACTTCATTAGCAACTTGCCTCGCACAACGTAGATATGATGCTTTCATATCGATTCGGATATTTGCGGAAAATGTCCTGAATAATTTTAATGTGAAAGAAAGAAGATATGCCCAAGACACCAGCAAGTATGAAGATGTTAAAAATAAATCACATTACTAAAATGCTTTTTAGCAGTAAAATAACCCGAAACAAACCTCTCGCATGATGATACTCACGCAAATATTTATATGATGGTGATAATTTTGGCTAAATTTCTATTACTAAGCTTGCCTCTTTGGTCGTAAAGAATCGATCACTTAGTATGCATGCCAAACAAGTAGGAGTGGCATGTATATATAGCATACGACATGTATGAAAGATGAGGGCATACCTTGATGACAACGACAGCTTCTTGCACCACATAGTTGACCTTTGTTTGAATCAGTTCCAGCAAAGTGGCTACGCAACGTTCACTGCTGGCCTCCACCTGGAAAAAATGTTATTGCAAATACAACAAGAAAAAAAATTTCATAGAAATTCTATGGCAAAAAAAACCCATGTAATTCTCAACTTACCTTGATAGCACATCGTCCTATGGCGCGCACAGACTTACGGACAAAATCGACGTCTACTTCAGTTGCATATCTGAACTCAAATTTGTGAGAAAAAGTACATACAACAATTATGCAAGAGACATTTATCAATCTTAAGTAGAACCACGGCAAAAAGCGCGTATAAGAGCTACACTATTCTCCATTAACCAGTAATTTAAAAAATTACAAAACTGGCTCTATTGTAAATTCTTTGGAGTCATGTAAACCTCATCTGATCTTTCGAAGCTACATATAAGAAAAGTAATACAAATGGAATGGACTCTTAAATGATGACCTGTAAAACTTACTCCTTTAGTTCACTAAGCACCTGAGCAATATTATTTTGTTGCGCGAGACGGATCATAATATCCAACTTCTCCATCTTGACGTAAATAGGATCGTTATACTTCACAAAGAATACCTAAATAGTAAAATTAGCACTCTCAAATACGAAAGCGAATTCATTAAAAGCAACACAAACTTTCATTTCCTGCTTCAGTATTTCCGGCCTTTTTTGGACGATGAGGTTGATATTGCGAAGAGCTACAT